CCACTGAGCTTTAATAGCTCAGCAAGTTACCTGTTTAACTCGCAGGTTTTTGAGACTGGTCTAGAGAGCGTCAGCTTATAACTGCAGCAGTTCATCTGTAGAAGACTTAGTCTTTAGGGTAGCTTCTCATTTTGATGTGTAATCTTTATTTATTCTTTTTATGGCATGTACAGGGCACACAGTTGGGCCCATTTTAGTTTGAAAACGAACATAATGTTTTGTAAATATTCTTTACATTATTAATGTAAACAGCATCTGTATAATATAATAGTCAATATTCATTATGATATCAGCATGTCAAAACTTATAGTCATCCAGTTTGTAGCATCCCGACTCGGTTCATTCGGGTTTACGGGTGGACCGGGAAAGGGTGTTACAAATTTTGGTATCAGAGCCCAGTTTGTAGCATCTCGACTCGGTTTATTCGGGTTTACGGGTGGACCGGGAAGGGATGTTACAATTTATATTTAGAGCCTCTTCAATCTCAAGCACCCCCAAATGTTCAACATATACATTTATAACTCTAAAGTCACTACCAAATAAACTCATTTCATATACGTCACTCTCCTTTTCAAGAGGCATAAGACTCTTAGTAAAAGGTTTATTAGGTTCTAGCCACCAGTACCTACAAACACCCTCAACACCCATTCTTTGTAATGCAATATCCACCCTAATGATAGACATTCTATCTGCATTGCACTGTATTACTCTAAACTCAGATCCCCAAAGTAAGCATACTGCCCTTTTTCACCTCCATAATGTATCAATAATTCATAATCCAACTCCTGCCCGCCTATTTAAAGACACAAAAAGCAACATACTCAAACATCAAAGCACAAAAAAATGCAACAGATAGCAAAAAAGTAAGTAAATCATAAATATCAAACCCTAAACCCTAATAATGGCACAACTACCCTGAAATAAAATGAAAAGGCAAGGGCATTTTCAAGCATACTTCCAAATATTTTGGCCCACCCCTTTTCCATTAAAAATTATCCATAAACGTCAAACAATATACAGTACAGGTATAATAAGTACACACAAAGCCATGGACCAAAAACATCCAACACGAAAAGCATTTTTATAGTGGTTCGAAAAAATTACCTCTTGGGTTTGTCACCATTTTTATATGTCAAACAAAACACCTTTAAGAGTACTGCTTCTCTCGCTCGCAATTCTTATAAACTGCCCTTCTCCACTTTTTTATCTTTTTATGCCTCCTCAAACCACTGCCGAATATACCTTCAATAGTGCAAAGCTTCGATTTTTTTCTCTCATCTCTATAGAGCTTCTCTTGTATTAGGAAAGAAAATTAGGGTTTTCAATTTCAACCAATTCAAGTGAACACGCGTGAAACATAGAGAATAAAAAAAATATCAGTCGCAAAGAGAAAAGGAAAAAGGTGGAGAGAGGAAAAAGACGAGGAAAGAGAAAGTGAATTACTAACCTCGAGGAGAGAGGAGAGAGATTATTTCCATTTAGTGGAAATCCGAGTTGACATAATAAAACCGATGTGTCAGGCCACGTGGACCTCCAGTAGTCTACAAATTAAAAAATCGATCAGAAGTATTTTAACTGTGCAATAATAAATTCAAGTATTTTAAGATATAAATTGAAGTATAGACACAATTAAGTGCTAGGATCCTAAGATAGGGGACCACCAGTGAAATTAACATTGTTGACTACTGCATTTAATAATCAATATGTTGGACCAAGAAATTGATTAATTAATTGGGTAACTCATGTCAGTGATTTTATTTTCGACCATATTTCATTACTGGACTGCAATATCAATTTTATCTAACAAATTGGTATAAAACAAGTTTGGCTACTGTGACAACATCGATTTTATATTTAGACATATACTATCCAAAAATTCAGTGAATTGACAAGAAATTTGCCACAGAACTAAACTTAAGATAAAGTTAAGTTGGATTATACCTTGGTCGGTTTGGTTCCATTTGAATGGGATAATCGAGCCAAAACCATTGCAAAAGAAAAATTAAAACCAAACAAAAATATCAAAAACAGAGGATGTATTTACCTTTAACCTTGTTAAATAATTTCATAAAGTATTGATCTATGTATTTTAAATATGATAATGTCCTATAATATCAGTGGTCATAATTAATATTTAAAATCTTAAATGAAAAATTTTTGAAAATAAAATTCCGAATTGTTTCAGTTACCCATTTAATTTAAAGTAAAAGTTTATGTTGATTAGCAAAATCGAACTTAAAACCTGTATAATAGTTAAACTACCTTACCAACAAATTACTTAACATCCTTATTAGATGAATGTATATAAAATATATATTACTTGTAACTATAGTTATTTATACTAAAATTACATATATTAATATCTTAATAATTTGAATTTATTTATACATATAATTAATAATCTTAATAATCTCTTGAATTTATTTTTTTCAAAATTATATTAGACAAGATTTAATTATATATATATATATTATATATTATAATATATACAACACATAATGCACTTAGTAATATATACAAACACATACATGCCTTAGTAATTTAATCGAATTTTTTGTAGTTTGGTAATTATAAAATTTATTAAAAGTAAAAAAGTTACTAATTGAATATAATGCTAATAATTTTATAATTAAAAATTTTTAAAGCTACTTATCAACATTATTAGTGATAACTATAATTAGACCTTAATTTAAAATATGATTATGTGAAATATGAAATTTAGATATACTTTTAGTAAATTAGGATATGACTCAAATAAAATATCACCAGTAAACTTATAAAAAAGTATTAAACTTAATACTTTACCTAATATTATTGTTGTTTCATTTACTTTCATTATTATAATTATATATATTAGTATAGTTATACCTAAAAGTCTAATGTATGTAGATTCTGGATTACAACAATCATAATTAATTATAACCTACTATAGATTCCGGATTACAACAATCATAATTAATTATAACCTACTAAGTATATTCTCCAATAAAAAAAATATATTATACTTAAAACTTTACCTAATATTATTATTATTACAATTACCACCGAAAGGATGTAGTTTTGATGTAGGAGGTTTAAATGAATCTGCAAACAAAACTACTGTCGTTTTAGCTTAGGCTTGCGTTTTAACGAAAGAAACAAAAACTTCTCTCAAATTTCAACTCAAAGTCAAGCGTTCTCCTCTCTCGCTACTACCTGCGTTCTCAAAGTCAAGCGTTTTCTCCTTCTACAGCCACGGACCACAATCTGCGTTTATACCTTGCCGTCACTTTCGTTTTTTACCGTCGCCTCTGCAGCAATGGTGCTCTTCAAGCGTACAAGCGCCAGGTTCGTTCTCAGTTTTTTTTTTTTTTCGTTTTGCTTCGTCCCTTTTCCTTTTTCTCTTTTTTTTGCTTCGTTCTCAGTTTATTTGCTAGTTTAATTTGCTCCAAGTAAACAGTTTAATTTGCTCCAAAGTAAACTGTTGCGTTTCAGATAGGAATAATAGCTAAACTTATTGAACTTTTTTTTTCGTTTTGCTTCGTCCCTTTTCCTTTTTCTCTTTTTTTTGCTTCGTTCTCAGTTTATTTGCTAGTTTAATTTGCTCCAAGTAAACTGTTGGTTTCAGATAGGAAATTACTAAACTTATTGAACTTTAAGTAGGAAATTTATCAAATTATTATAATATCAAAGTATTTATTTATTTATTTATTTTTCAGATTCTTGTCCATGTGCGGAGTTGAAAGTTTTTTGTGCGGAAGAAGATGTTGATTGTTAATACTTGCAATCTTGGTTGTTGAATAAGAAGAATATTGTTTGTATTAAGAATATGATGTTTATGTAAAATTTCTTTTGTTTTTGTTGTAGGGTTGTTCTGTTTTAATGTATTTTTTAATTCAATAATTTCTTTTTATTGAGATACTTTTTTATTATGTTTTATTTGGATTTAGTTCTCGTTATGTGATAGTTTGTTATATTTTAATTGATTTTTAGTTTGTTATTTTTATTATTCTTATTGAATTTTAATATATGTTTGATTGTCAAATTGTTTAATTGAGATATTGGTTTGAAATATTTATTTAAGTTGAATTTCAATTATTTTGTTTTATTTTAATATTATTATGTACCGTTCTTTTACAATATTACAAGTTAAATTCTTTTATTATTTTGAAGTTGAATTTTAATGCATTTTTATATATTTTTTGTTGCATTTCGGATTCCATGCGAGTTTGAATTTTATAAATTGAATAAATTTATGATCAGATGAGTATATAAACAGATTCAAATAGTAGACGGGAACTTATAAATAGATTTGAAACGATGCAAATATTATTGATTTATTCTTTAATGGATTCGGAGTGAATTTAAAAACTTAAAATGATAACGGATTTGGATTTGAGTAGTTTATTTGTAGCGGGTATCGGCTCCGCTGCTATCCCTGCTAGGGTTCGCTCCTGATTCAACCCACCACCCCTTCCAATCGATTTCCCCCCTTCACAGACGCAATAGCATTTTTACTTTCTAAAAGGATTCCTGCAATTACAATTTTGCCCTCCCTCAGCATTAATCCCAGTCAACCGTATATATACCAATAGTAGCCACGTTATAAAACTATCGCGATGTCATATTCGTAAAAGATTATAAAAGGATGGCCACTAGTAGAATTAAGCCTTAAAGTGGACCGCAAAACATTTTGGCCCATTCTAAAACAAGTAGTTTTGTGCCTGATTGAACTTTTCAAAAACTTCAGGAGCCGAACTGGCCTTTAAGCATCAATTATTTTGTGTTCCTCTTAAATCCCCGCCCCTTACCCTTTTCTGTATGCAGAACACAAAAGCTTGAAACAGGCGGTAGCTGCAGCTCGCTTGCTGCTTCCTCTCCCTGTTTTTCTACCTTCTTATACTTTGAATCCTTTAGCTTTGTTGACTCCTCCATTGCTGCACCCTCCCTTGCTCGGGGCAACCTCCGATTGCGTCTCCGTTCACTCCAACACCCCTAAAATGTACTCTCATATTCTCTTTCTCTCTCCGTTTTTTTTTCCCCTCTAATTTAAGTCTCATTTTTCTCTTCAATGTTTATTTTAGAACATTAGGCTCAAAAACTATTTTTATCCTTTTCAAATGGAGTTAACTGCTTCAATAGGAGCGGAGGAATTGTTATAGAGTGTGTGTTCATTGATTTATATACAAAATTTGAGCGATTTTGCTTAATTCTGAAACTGAGAATTCAATTTGCATATAATTCTTATCACAACGTTGGATTTCAGGTAATCACCGCCTTTAGAGGCTTTGTTTGTTTTTCATCTTTGCTATGCAATAGTTGCTGAGGAATTGATGGCACACAATCAGTGTTTGAATGTCCGTGTTCATTCGTTGTGGAGGAGCTTTAATTACTTAGGGGAAAACTTGAGAAGGGCCCAGAAAGTTGGAAATATCTTGTCCCATTTCAAGACAGTTGTTCAAATTCATCCTTCACCCACTTCATCTAAGAAGGTAAGACTCAAAATTTAGGAAGGAAACAATAGAATTATGTAAAAAATTTCTATTTTTGCTATCTTATTTGTACTGAAATATTTTTTTATCTTGAAAAATTTCTTTAATTTTTACATCTTTGGTCCATGGTAATTTTTTGTTGGGCTAAATTGACAAATAGATTGGTTGGAATCAAGTGATAGTATTGTCAAACTCAAAGAATGTAGGTAATGTCATTGGGAATTTTCAGTCATCCAGCAATGAAATTGTTAGCTATTCTTTACCTTTCTTTATCTTAGGATCTCTCGTTTCTTTTTGTCTCCTCATTCACAATAAGTTCTTGTTTGTGGCTGTTTGACTCAAGCTTCTATGATCAATACAAAGTTGAACTGAGTGATCGCTTTTGTCATTTTTCTTGTATGTTCTAGTGTGTAGATTTTTCTCTGTTCAAGTAATATTGATGGTACCTTGTGAGAGGCACATATTGCTTGCCATTTGGTTAATTATGAAAGGTTGAGGTGCTAGGCTTATATTATCCTTTTGGAGCTTCTCTCTTACTGAGTTGGACTTGTGCAAAATAGGTTATAAGTTGTGGAGCATTATTCAATACATTTGCCAAGGGGATTACACACTATTTTAATAAATTTGCTGAGGGGATTAACACAATGTTTCAGGCTTTGCTCACATATTATATGGGTGCCTGAAAAAGTACATAAAAGGGATTTCGTCAAATATTTCTTGAGTTGGCAAATGCTGATCGAAAAATGTGTGAACTGTAACAGTTAGAAAGGGCAGACAAGACATGGAAAAGTAGCAATTTGTGGATAAGTAGGAAAGAGACATTTATTGAGTTTTTTTATTAAATTATTATTTATCCTGTATTTCTCCTGTAGATGTGTTATTTTAAATTGTTTATTTGTCGTCGCAGGCCTTTTGTAGTTTATCTAGGACGGGCTTGGCTTTACCTCAAGTTTTTTGTGCAACTTCTCAAAATAACACTCTAAACTTTTCCAAAAGCGAGAACACTCTATATCAAGATATAACCTTTGCTTCAATCAAGAGTGAAGAAAAAGCAGTTAATGCTGGTTCTTCAAATGGTAGAGTAATGCTTATAGATGGCACCTCTGTCATTTACAGGGCCTACTACAAGCTTTTAGGTATGCCATATGACTCGGTTTAGATTTATATCAAATTAGCTTATATTTAACTTGTAATTCTTGTCTGGCTAAGATTTTATTACTGATTAGTATTTATTTTTCTGTACCTTTGAATTTTATGTGATCATTATCTTCTATTATATTACTGCTATCTTTGCTGTGCCTGTGTACTTAATTAGACCAATCTAAGTGGTATCCCTTTTAACTAATATATTTTTAGCTGGTTCTTTTTTTTTCTTTTTTTATTTTGGCTGAGGGCAGCAAAGTTGCACCATGGTCATCTATCACATGCAGATGGCAATGGGGATTGGGTTTTAACTATATTTTCAGCACTATCACTTGTAAGTGATGTTCAATGGATGGTAGACTTCCCCTTTTCTACTTTATTTATGATGACTTTGCCAAAGTTTGAACTCAGAGTCTTCCTTCTTCTGTAATTCAGTTTGCTGTCAAAATTCTATGTCTCAGATAACAAATTCAAAATCAGATTACTTGGAAAATGTTTACCGCACATTGAGCCTTCTATACTATATACAAAAGTTACTTAAGTAACAATTTGTTGAATATGCAATGGAGATTGACCGCACATAGTTTTTAGAACTACTATGTTTATTGTATGCTATACCATCGGGACAGAGTCTTAACCATTTATTTTGGCGCTATCATTTATATGTGGCCTCCATCAAATAGAGGACTTAAGTATTGACCTTATATGGGGTTCTTTTTATGCAGGTTTAAATTTGTCAGAATTGATTTTGCCTCAGATAACATATTTTTGTAGCTAGTAACATAACCCTAAATTAGGTTGTGAATTTGACGAGAATATTGAGGAGAGAACTAAGAGATTGAAATTCAACCAAAGAGCTGAATTTTCTGGTGATGCAACCAGGAAAAGAAACAACCATTAACCTGGCTTATTTTATCTTTATAGCCATTAAAAATCCTGCTAGAATAAGCGGGTTGAACTCAAATATCCTAATAGAATGAAGCATTAAATGTACAATCCTATCCTAATAAAAAAGATCTAAATTCTTTAGCGTAAAATCCTACTAGGTAAGTTTCCGAAAGATGAAATACTAAAGAAATAGAAATTGACTCCTCTAAATAAAGTCTGAAATTACTAAACCATAAATAACCCTGATGTGGAATTTGTAGTAAATCACCCTGGCAAGGAAAGCACTGCAGACAGAAGTGCTCTAAAGCATCATGACAGTAACTGTAGAAAATTCTGAACTTCTGCAATGTATATATGTATTAAGTGTTTTAATGCGTTAAAAACATTCCTTAGAAATGGGATCGTAAGCAAATTATTCTACTACATGTATGTCTAATCATTGTGGATACCATCTAATCACATTCCATCAAGCAATTAATTATTTACTGAAAATTTCATTCATTTCTTAGATCTGATACATACTTATTATGTTTCTTACAGATAGTTGATGTATTGGAGTTTGTCCCTTCCCATGTGGCGGTATGATCTTTTTCCATTGCACTTGTATTGAGTTTTTTATTTTTAGGATGAAGTCAAAGTTACAGGTGCATTTTTTATGTCTTCATTATTACTATAGTAAGGATTATTAGTGAGGCTGCAGAAGCATCTATCTTACCCAGAATAAACTCGGATTTGATTGAAAGACTCTTAATCATAGGAAAAGCACTGGAGTACTTTGCCACAAAATCTTGTCTTTAATATTTAGATTGCACTTATCATAACTAGAGACTTTGTTTATTATTTAGATTGCACTTATCATAACGAGTCAATGGCCTAACTATGAATGAATTGGCTTGACTGATGTACATATGCTTATTCTAAATTGGATGGTATGTGTCAATCCCATCCCATCGTCCCGATCCTTTCTATTCGACAAATAAAAAAATAATAAATGTTGGATCATGCCAAATTATCTTAGAGTTTAAAATGTACAGAAGTTATTTGAAGCCAAAAAGTGTCCTTAACTTAAAGCATGCAGATTTGGACAGAATTATAAACTCATTTATTTTGTTTTGTTGTTAAAAGGACCTTGGTCCTCTCTTTGATTTTTACCATATTGCAGTTCAAAATTGGCTGTCCTTTTAATTTGTAGCTTCTAGAATGTGGGTAAGGGTAGTATGGGAACTATGCTGAATGCTTCGGTATGCAGGTTTCCGTCCAAGATTGCTATGTGTCAAGTAATTTTATACAACCTTGTAAAATGATAGGTTAATTTTGATTGTAATTTCCTTTTGCATTACGTATTTTAGGCGAATCTTACTTGTTTGCTTGAAATACACTTGTGTTAGTCCTTCAAAGAAAAATATTGGTTAGCAGTATGTCACGGAGATAGGTTTTAACTTGCCTATCCGTGCGGCACTTAGTCGCCTTTGGGTGCTAGGACGAGCTAAGTAAGCCTAGAAGACCGATGGAGCAAATTGTAAATGACTAGGTTATATTTTGTCTGTATTTCCTTTGGCTTACGTATTTTAGCGCGATCTTACTTGTTTGCTTAAATACACTTGTATGTTAGTCCATTCAAAGAAAAAATATTGGTTCAGCAGATATGTCACGGAGATAGGTTTTTACTTGCCTATCCGTGCGGCACTAGACTTAGTCGCCTTTGGGTGCTAGGACGAGCTAAGTAAGCCTAGAAGACCGATGGAGCAAATTAAAAGCTAAATAAGAAGAGAGAGCACAAGAGAGCTTTAGAAGAGACTTGTATTGCTCTTGATACTGCTTACTTGCTTGGTGATTACAAATGAGAGGAACGGTGGTATTTATAGCCATTTCCACCTCCTCAATACATGGCTAGGATTTACATACATAGAATCAATGGTCTAGATTACATGGAGTTAGGTGGGTGTTAGGTGAGACATTAAAATATCTTTGGGTGGGAGTATTATAATGCCTACACTTTGGGTGGGAGTATTATAATGCCTACACCTTGTGGACTTGGAGCAACCACATTTGGGCTTGGAGCTTGCCAACTGGTCATTGTCGACAGATTACCATATCTGAAGGGTATGGTAGCATCATGGTCATTGTCGACAGATTCAGCAAATATGCTACCTTTATCCCCGTCTCTGCCAACTGCAAGGTTGATGAAGCAGCCCGCCTATTCTTTAAGAATGTGGTGAAGTTATGGGGACTCCCACGGAATATTGTGAGCGATCGAGACCTTCGCTTCACTGGCAAATTCTGGCGAGAATTGTTCAAGCTGATGGGGACAGACTTGAACTTCTCAACTAGCTTTCATCCCCAGAGTGATGGGCGAACGGAGCGTATCAATGCCTTGCTCGAGCTGTACCTTCGACACTATGTCAGTGCTCATCAGCGAGATTGGGCCAAGCTACTTGACATCGCCCAATTCTCATATAACCTTCAAAGGAGCGAGTCCACGGGCAAAAGTCCCTCTGAAATTATTATGGGACAGCAGCCCCTGACTCCCAATGCCATTGCAACTTCATATGCTGGGGTGAACTTGCAGCCCACAAGTTTGCAAGAGAATGGCGCGAAGAAGCAGATGAGACCCGCGCTTGTCTCGATAAGGCTGCTCGGCGAATGAAGAAATGGGCCGACACTAAGAGGCGACCAATGGAGTACGCCGAAGGAGACAAGGTATTGGTTAAACTCCTCCCTAACCAATTCAAGTCCTTACGGAAGGTGCACAAAGGGTTGGTGAGGAAGTATGAAGGACCATTTCCCATCATCAAGCGAGTGGGGACCATTTCCCATCATCAAGCGAGTGGGAAGAGCTGCTTATCAAGTCGAACTGCCCCCTAAACTTAAAATTCACAACGTCTTCCATGTTAGCATGTTAAAACCTTATCATGCTGATGAAGAGGACCCAAGCAGGGGTGCATCCACACGAGCCCCAACGGCTGTTGTTACTGAATTCAATAGGGAGGTTGACAACATACTTGACTCACGAGTAGTGCGGAAACGTGGAGTCCCAAACTACCGCGAGTACCTGATTAAGTGGAGAAACCTCCCAGAATCAGAAGCTAGCTGGGAACGTGAAGACTTCCTTTGGCAGTTCGAAGAAAAGCTAAAGCAATACGAAGCTCAAGGCGCGACGAGGGCGTCGTGAGCTTGAGTGGGGGAGGGTGTTACGGCCCGCATGGTGAGAAGGTGGAATTGGCCCAAACATTTACAAGGAAGGCTTGCAAGGCTATCAAAAACGGGCTAGCACAAAGACCCAAAGACTTGGCAAGCTCCAAGCCCAAATGTGGTTGCTCCAAGTCCACAAGGTGTAGGCGGTTGTGTAGGCATTATAATACTCCCACCCAAAGATATTTTAATGTCTCACCTAACACCCACCTAACTCCATGTAATCTAGACCATTGATTCTATGTATGTAAATCCTAGCCATGTATTGAGGAGGTGGAAATGGCTATAAATACCACCGTTCCTCTCATTTGTAATCACCAAGCAAGTAAGCAGTATCAAGAGCAATACAAGTCTCTTCTAAAGCTCTCTTGTGCTCTCTCTTCTTATTTAGCTTTTAATTTGCTCCATCGGTCTTCTAGGCTTACTTAGCTCGTCCTAGCACCCAAAGGCGACTAAGTAAGTGCCGCACGGATAGGCAAGTTAAAACCTATCTTCGTGACAAGTAGCTCTCTTAATGGAATGGTTTTCCTAGCATTTTATCTCTAATTGCTGAGCGTAGAGCTAAGATGCCTACTATCTCTTAACTGTATGATCTTGCATGATTTTATCTGTTTCTCAATTTTTATTGAATTGGTTATTATTTCTCTTTGCAGGTGGTGTTCGATCACGATGGTGGGTTATAAATTTCGTTGATATTTTTATTTTGCAATATTCTCTTAATTGTTGATCAAGCTTCTTTTCATTTGATTTACATGCTCTGCATAGTCATTGTAAGCTGTTGTACTTGTTGCTTGGAACCTCTTTGTGCTTGATTTTAGCCCCTGAAGTTTCAAAATGTGTCTGAATTCAGAATGAGCTGCCTTTAGCAAAACTGTGAGTTGTGGTTTGCTTAGATGCATTGCGCGAAATCTCAACTACCCGTCTTTCACATGGTTAGATATTTCTTTTTAAGTTCTTTGATATAGAAATTTATGGTCAAATTAAGATTAAGAAATGCTCATGGTCAAGCTTATATTGAAACTATTTGAATGGTATAGTTTGCCTAGGATATCAAGGGAAGAAAATAATTTGCATTTCTGCTTTGCATAATGTCCTTGTCCCAACTTTAATTCACAGTAAAATACTATTTCGTGGAATTTTCACTTCTCTATTTTGGTTTAACGTAATCAACTATGTAATGGAATGAAAGTTGCATTATATAGTTGATGGATTTTTTTCTTATTCCATAATGTAACGAGTATTACAAATGTATTTATCATTACTTAAAATAATGTGATGTTTGTTCCATCTAAAAACCTATGTAATAATGGTCACTCCATTGTAATCCCTCAAAAGTTAACACTAACCAAACTCAACCTCAAACTTGCTATCACCTTCACCACCAATTCTCCTCCAGCACCACCACCTCAACTACCACTTCACCACCATTGCAACCACCATCGCCACTGCTGTCACCACAAGCACCTCCCCACCACCATCACCATCGTCACCACAACCACCACCACCACTCCACCACCGCTCCACTAGCAACATCACCTCATTATTAATACAAAAAAAAATATTTAAATCAACAGCTATTCATTATATCAAGTTATTAAAGACCATTTAGATTTATAAATTTATTTGGACTAAAAAATTAAAAGAAAATAAGCCGTAAAAAGTTTAATGTAACAAAATAAAAGTTAAGTCATTGGAAAGTATTTTTTTTACATATAATTTCATATATTTTTGTTGAATAAATTAAATTTCAATATCAAGTTAATCATATGAGCAAACATATGGCGGCGGTGGTAGTGGTGGTGGGGTGGTGGTGGTGGTGGTAGTGGTGGTGGTGGGTGTGATGGTAGTGTGATTATTGGTGGTGGTGGTGTACTAATCACATTACATATTTACTACTAAACATAAAAATGCAATGATGATTAGATTCCATAAATTTTTTTAATTACATGAGCAAACACAGTAATGGAATGTTAATTATATTTCATTATAACACATTTTTCATTGCACTACATCCAACCAAACATGGCCTTGGTGTTTGGGAGATGATGGCATTAACTCCATTGTCTGTTATCTCCTTGCATATAAGAAGATTTGGTCTTTACATTTGTAGAAATTAAAGGAAAGAATATGTTTTGTTTCTTTCAATTGTGTTATATTTTTCAACCTCTTCTCCACTATATATATACAAAAAATTGTTCCACCCCCCCCCCCCCCCCCCCTTCCCCCCCCCCCCCCCCCTTCTCCACTATATAATACAAAAAATTGTTCAAATAATAGGAAGTAATCTAAATAGAATAAACTAAACTAAGAAACACAATCTACACTAATAAAGGAATACCTAAATTAGGAAATACAATATTTACTTAATCCACAAAGATTTTCAACAACTCCCCCTCAAGGTTGTGCATAGATATTACTCATGCCCAACTTGCAAACCTAAAAAGGATGAAACAACTTGCTATGCAAACCCCTTTGAAAACATCAGCTAGTTGCTTCTTTTGAAAGCAATAGGAGACACTAATAAAACCTTCAACTACCTCTCTTTTTATAAAGTGATGATCAAATCTCTATGTGCTTAGTTCGAATCAATGCTGGACTGGAATTTGTCATAATACTGATGGTTACTTACTATCACAAATAAAGATATATTTGTTGTTTTAACACAACTTTAACTCTTCCATTAAATCTGTGCAACCATAGAAGTTATTAGATCCCCCGTGCCATAGCTCCTATTCAGCTTCTGCACTGGACCTGGACCTTGCAACAACAGCCTGCTTCTTACTTCTCCATGTGACCAGGTTTCCTCCAACAAAAACACAATAACCTGAGGTTGATCTCCTGTCATCAAGGGTTTAAAATTTAAAGTACGAAGAGGCATACGATTGATAAGGTAAGCAACAGTCAAAATAGCATCCCCCAATATGGTTTGGGAAGACTCGTAGTGAACATAAGGGATCTAGCTACTTCCAGTGAATGCCTATTTTTCCTTTCCGCTACTCCATTTTAAGCACTAGTATTGACACAACTAGTCTGATGTATAATATCATTAGAATCTAAATAGGTACGAAAAACTGCATTCATGTATTCAGAGTACCATTATTAGTTCTTAGGAATTTTAACATGCGCCTCAAAAACTGACTACAAAACATTTTATGGAAATTTGAAAAACATGAAAACTCATTTTGTTTTATCAAATAATCCCAAGTCAATCAGTGCAACAATCAATAAAGGTCACAAACCATCTAATAACCAGAAAGAGGAGAATTTTAGTTAGGAACCCAAAACACAAAATGAATAGTACAAAAGGAATAAATTCTATATTAAATGGAGAATAAGAATGCCTGGTGTGTTGGCAAGTTCACAAGCATCACATACTAATGAATTAAAATCACATTTCGCAAACAAAGTTGGGTCCTAAAACAAAAAAAGAGGGATGTCCTAATCTCCTATGCCATTGAATAACTTCATGGGAAGGATTTCTAGAAGTTCCTAACAAAGCTTGATTGGTACCCGAATTTGAAAAATGACTAACGTCATCCAATAGATACAGTCCATCGTGCAAGCTACCACTGCCAATCATTCTCCTTGTATTCAGTTCTTGAAATATGCAATGAGTAGGGTAAAAAGTTGCTTTGCAATTAAGTGCTTTTGTGATTAAGCTAACAGATAACAGATTAATAGGAAGTCTAGGAACATGAAGAATAGGGGAGAATTTAATGTTGGAAGTACAGTCAATAGAATCTGTGCCTGCAATTGGTACTAAGGAGTCATCTGCAATGCGAATTTTGTCTGTGCCTTGATATTTAGAATATGTGAGGAAATGTTTTTTAGAGCTTGTTGTATGTTTATTTGCTCTTGAATCTATAACCCAAGAGGGTTTTGCAATTTTTCCAAGAAAGGTAAGGAAAGCATTACCTGAATAAACAAAATTAGAGGCTGCAGTCTGAGTTGAGGACGAATCAAGCTGTGACAACAATCGTTTCAGGGACTGAATCTCCTTATCAGAAAAGCTTAGCTTCCAGCAGTAGATGTTCTCATGCTCCACATAGATATGGTGCTGTGGTTAGAAAACTGATTCGTTTCCTCCACGCCCTTTTGTTGGGCGTCCGTGTAATTTTCCAGCAGAACCTCCTTTGTGTGCCTGTCTTACCGCAATGCCAAAATAATTGATCTCTATCTGAAGAACTGCTCTTTGTAGTTGATCTGTGAACCATAGCGTTCCTTCTAGTCTCCTCTTGTTGTACAAATGAGTATGCTTGTCGTAAGGATGGAAAAGTATCTCGTCCAAGAACTTGGACTTGAATCCGATCATACTCGCTATTTAGGCCAGCCAGAAAATCATACTCACGTTCTACTTCAATCAACTTCTGAACTTCAGTCGCATCATCAGTACATCTTGCTTGAAAGTCTTGATAATAATCCAGTTCCTGCCATAACCCACTAAGTTCAGCAAAATAATGAGCGATAGTCAGATCTCCCTGCTTGGTTTCATGAACTTTCTGTCGCAATTCATGCCTCTGAGCATAGTTTCCAGTTTGTGAATACGTCTGTGAAGCCAGCATCTCATTATCAAGAAGCAAATATCCTCGGGAAATAGTTGGCTGGATGGAATTTATTAACCAAGACATAATAAGAGAATTCTCGGATTTCCACTTGTTAAAGGCCGGATCTGTCGAAATTGGTTTAGTTGCTCCACCATCAAGGTATCTTGAGTCGCCACACCGAGTTGAGGTCGCCGGAACAAGAATCATTGACGGAGCTCGCCGGAAACAATCGCACGCGCCGGCACGTGAAGAACATTCAGAATCTTCTAGAGGCGCGTGTGCACACGCGTGCGGTCGAATGACGACGCGGTTTGGACTGAGTGCCGATCGGCGGTTGTTCTTCCTTCTGAGACAGGCGGTGACAACCAACTCCCACTTCCGGCTGTGCTGTGTGTATCTTAGACCACTTTGCAATTTGAAACCTTTGCCGAAAAATTCACGGCAATGGCTCTGATACCATGTAGAAATTAAAGGAAAGAATATGTTTTATTCTTTTAATTGTGATATATTTTTCAACCTCTACTCCACTATATATATACATATATATACAAAAATTGTTCCAATATAGGAAGTATTCTAAATAGGAATAAAACTAAACTAGGAAACACAATCTTTACAATAATTAGGAATAAACCTAAACTAGCAAATACAATATTTACTTTAATCACTAAGATTTCAACAACATTGCTTTAAAATTCTCTTGTAAATCCTTCCATTCCCACTTTGTATTTTCGTTTTAATGTTCTGATAAAATTTAGAGAGCTAATGTGCTAGTCAAGGTAAGAGCTTTTGTTTGGTGTAAAGTGCTTTAAGAAGTCAATACTGATAGTGTTTTACGAAAATGAATGCCTAATAAGGTTTTATCTCGTTATTGATCTGTTAAGTTCTCCTAGCGTGATGATTCTTATTGTCATTCATTTCTTCTTAAAGATGTAATAATTGGAGCTACTTGTCAGCTATTCAGATTTGGTTCTCAAGATACTCAAAACTAAGTGGTAATTGGGTCTAATTTCAACTTGAGTAGCTTGATTAACAAGTCAAGTTGAATTCAACTATCATAATACTTGACTCGATTGGCTCATGAGCCTAATAGAGTTATTAAACTTTGAATAAACTCTATGTTTATAT